GTATACTGCTCGTGCATTACGTCTTGTCACTTTGGGGGAAGTCTAAACTATTTCACAATTCCCGAAACTAACCTTATCAGTCTCATTAGCAAACTCACCGTCAGGGAAGATAAACGGACCTGTTTCGGTTTTTGCTAGGTTGCCATATTTCGGAAAGACAATACCTCAAGCCAATTCACTGCCGCCCACGAACAGACGGTAATAAAGTCAAGTTTTGTTCCTGAGCTTAGCCATTACTTCTTGTGTTTTGCTTGAAACCTCGTGTTCCGCTGAGGATTTTTTTAGCTGAATTACTCTGCTAGCTCAATCAAGTTACTTTCCGATATTTCGATATAGGTATGTAAGTTACATTAATTGCAATATCGATGTCATAGGAAAACAAAAAAAAAGAATTGACTAAAGCTAACTGACAGAAATGAACTGGGCATACTCACTACTTTCAGAATGACAAGGCTGACGAAATATTGAAGCAGAAAAAGTCTTTAGAGTGGCCAATTAACCCTTTCTAAACTCATTCCAAGTCAATGTGATGTCAGTGAAGTCGTATACTATACTGCAAAAGCGTTATCAGGATTATCATAACGTCAATTGAACGGCTAACTTTTTTTGGCTCTTTCTTTTCTATATGACAACGTTAGTGCAATAACGTTTGTATAAGGTATATCAAACCTGACTCATGAGGACAAAAGTCACGTGACACGCTGTCATGAAAATTAGTCCTCTGGTCATGAACTTCATATTGGCAGTTTCAATTGAAACCGTTGTAAATTCTTTTTCTGTTAAAAGAAAATGAGAAGAAAAGAATAGTTTGTTCAAAAAATGAACAGGGCTATCCACCGCCTACGTGTAGGCGGCCATGATCGCGGGGTAGCCATGATCGCAGTGGACAACGCAATTACCGACTCGTAATCCACTGGATAAATCTTAATCTCAAGACTAGCTGGCTTTTCCGTCCCTGTAAAACTTGATTTAGATCTCTTGCCAGATGAAAAAGAAACCCTCAGAACTAATTTATTAGTTCTTTGGTTTTACTCAACCAATTTATTATTACTATTATTATTGCTATTATTGTTATTCGGGATTCTAATTAAAGTTTCTTTCTTGACCGCGGCAGGATTAGCTCAGTCGGTAGAGCGCTTGACTGCAGAGCGGGAGGTCGCGGGTTCGATTCCCGGGGCCGGACCAATACTCAGGGTCTTAAAAATAACTGAGAAATGAAGGTACTTCCTTTGTGACCTTCGCGTGGCTCGGATGACCACGTAAAATGGCGGTCCCGTCTCCATTAGGAGACGTAAAATATATGAGGGCCACAAGTTTATTAGCCTTTGGCTATTAAGTGCTACCCTCTTTAAATAAAGGCTATTCAAATGAGGTTTTTTTGAGGTCAGAGCTTTAGCATGATAGATTTTCAGCCTTACAAACAGTTTCTAGTAAAGCCTCTAAAAGATAGATTTTCTTTTCATGGGGTTTCAGTTTGTTACCTTGCTACGCTTGCTAAAAATTCCCTCTCTCGCACCAAAGTTCACAAACCACATCAAGGGCACTCAAGGGAGTTTGAGGAGGCCAAAAAAAAAACAAAAAACAAAAAACAAAACAAAAACAAGACCTTTATTTGAATTGGGCCAGAAATCCAGATTTGTAGAACAAGTGTTTGGCTAGCCTGGGAGTTTTTTTTTTTGTTCTTATAATAACAATTTTAACGAAATCTTGATTTTGATTTTGAAAATGGTAAGGGTTACGGTTAGGTAAACATAATTCGAAATGATTTTCAGCTGTAGTTGATGAGCATGAAATTTAAAATTTAAAATGGTAATAGTCGGCTACATGCTTTTATCGAGCCAACTTAACTTAGCAATCTTTATACCCATATAAACGTAATATAAACGTCCATTTTTTATAGTGTATGATTGCTACAATGTAAATGCGATATTTAAACTTAAAAAAAGAGGGTCTGAAGTAATAAGTATACTAACCTTCCCTCGTGGAGAACTTCTTTAAGAACGTCCTACAGAAATTGATATCTCCCAAGTACTCTTTCCTCTTTTTGAGCAGTATCCGAGTTACTAATATCGCTGGATAAGTATGTTTAATGGGCGAAAATAGACATTTCAACTCGTATTTGCTTTTTTTGCAACAACAAATCACCCACTATACCAATAGTTCTTTTGGCATCATTTCTGCCATTTAGATTCAGTTATCTTGAAACAGAGCGGTACTATAAGCTTTAATTAATCAAAGTAAGTGAAACATTCATTATAGTTGAATTAGTCTGAGTTGACTGTTGCGCTGAAATGGCAACAAATTAGTATTCGTTTCAGATCTTAATTAAAATCTGCTCTAAAGAGCAACAAAGGGATTGTCATTTTCAAAGCAAAAAAGTGTCACTCACCGTAACAAATTGATTTTAAATTAACGGTGATTTTGTCAGTGAAAAGTCAACACAGCTATACAAGGAAGACGATCTTAAAGACGTAAAATAATTGTCGCAAGAACAGCAGTCGGACAAACAACTCCCTTTCATGCTCAAATTTTTCAAGCGTACGTAGTTCATATTAACATGATGTTTTTGACACAGGCGTAGAAACTGTTACAAATCGCACATTAAAACAGTGAAAAGAGAATTTACGAAATACTGAGAATATCCATAGAAAATTTGCACTTTCGTCTTTTGGTCTAGTAGTATAGCCTATTATTTATTCGTCCATCGCGTAAGAGGGTTTACAAAAACAGAAAAGCGGGAAATAAATTGGAACCTCGATAAAAAGAAGCTTCGTTTTGCGAACAGGTTTTGCTTGTCCCTTGGCCCTTAATCATAATTTATCAAGGTCCCACTGTCTTGATCACGAACAATCAAAATAACATTTTATTATGACTTCCAATATTTCTTAGTTGAATAAAGAAATTTATGCGTGATACGTGGTGGAAATATTCTTTGGCTTAAATAGATATGTATGTCTTTTGTGTTAGTAAGCGTTTCCAAACCAAACGATAGAAATGTTGTAAAAGAGCAACGAGCGTTATCAGCTTTGCAGTAGTCTTAGGACTTCTCTTTTTTTGTTTTTAATATTTTAGCTGTTTAGATCTCTTTTCTTGAGATCTAACGCTGAAATCCAGCGGATTTTGCAATTTATTTCTTTATCATTTTAGCATTTTAGTCAGCCTAGTCAGATTTTTTATTGCTTTTATCATCTGTCTTTTTTGTCGGTCATTCTGCGTTTAAAGGCGTCGTGGAACTGATTTTAATCAGTTTTAAAACAGGGATTAAATCTCTGCCTTAATAATAAATGAAAAAGACAAATGCTGTCATAATGTTAATTAGCCTTAAATTAGTTTTAGTTTGTGAGGATATTTGTAATTTCGTTTTCGTCTAAGTAAGCAGCGGATGTTGTTTAATCACTAAGAACTGAGGAGAGACAATATTTATTCATCTGGATAATTATTAATCTACGGAGTCTGAGAATTATCCTGTTCTTCTTGACTGAACAAGATGTGCTCGTCACTACTCTGTCAGTTTTGTGTCTTCAAGAATTAATAAAAATTCATTTAAATTGTACGGCTATAATAAAAATTGTGAAACAATTAAGGGCCCAGTGACCTATCTTTTGAAGCCGTTGCTAGCCGTTTCAAATTGTGTTAGCTCTTTCAAATGAAATCTCTAGCATTGTTCTTTTCAATAATGCTTGAAATTATCATTGATCAATTTTGTTTCAAGAGAATGATTATCGTGAAATAATTTTTTTAATTACACCATTTTATTATATGCGTTAATGAGATCACCATATTATTGTTGATCACCTTGTGAGGTATTGACGTGTTAGTCTTGCATTTATAATGTACGGATCCCAGGTCAATCCTCTTGTTCCGGTACATTAAAGCAATCCCATGGTATCCCTCTGGCATGTTATTTGTTACTCTCCCATCCAGAGTAATGTACTCCTCAGGTCTGGTGGCCATTTTTTCGAGGAGTGCGTTAAACTCCCTCAGTTGTGATGGGCAGCTAAATGAATGTTTACAGTGGTAGGGCTTTCCATCTTCATCTGCCTGTACAATTACATAACCACAATTTTTTTAAGAATAAAGAACTATTAATGCCAATAATAATAGTTACTGTTGGCAGTGACCAAAACAAGTTATTATAAAGACACAAAAAGCTCTGACTGTACAGTTTTTACTCGCCTAGTTTTATGTTTCATGTTTGCAATGATGCAACAAGCTCCAAAATATTTTTTGTGTATTACTACTACCTTTTTGTAAAATCTGCACCATGTTGAACTGTGGTCATCAGTGTAGTGCTGATAATAATTTAGGATGGCTTTGCCAAAGTCCCCCATGGGGTCCTCTGAGGAGTAGATCTCTTCGCACTTTGTTAGATTTTTCAGACACTTTTTAGCGTTAGTTATCATTGCATCTGTCATTCTTTCGTACTTGGGTAGGCCAAGGCTTTTTCACTGTGGATATATCAAATGGTACACATGTTAAGATTATAATTGAAATCGTTTTAGATTGAAAAAATCTTACAAGCAACCAAACTCAATTGGGAGAAAAATTCGGCAGTATGAAATGAAATTATTACGCCCAAAGAAAATAAGCACATTACGATACCACAAAACACTATCTCTGTCTCCGGGCTTCTTGTAAGGATAATCTCATGACAAGAGGCGTCTTTATCAATTATCGCTTTCTTGATGGTTATACGCTCGTTTTCGATCAAAACGGCAAGAATCTCGTCAAGCATGTTCCCCTCTGCGCCATCAGATGTCCCCTCCCAGTTGGCATCCTGTCCTCGTTTAGTGCGATGTGCATAGCCGATGATGTTACCGGTCTTAGCGTCATGCATGGTGGCAGAAGAATTGTTGGAGTAGTGGCCTCTGGTCAAGTAGAAGCCGTCGAACATCACCTCGAGCTTGTCTTGATCTCCGCGCGCTTTTATCGCTTTCCTCGACTGCTGGACACTCCAATCGGCTATTTTTGGTACTTCCGGGGAAAATCCACTCAATTACTCGGATCCACTGCTTTTTGCTAAAGTGGCTTATTCCTAGGGTTCCCATCAAGTGGTCATAGCGGAGCTCTGGCGCGCGAAGCGCGCCTGCGGAGCACCATGGGTAAGTAAATCTACCCATCCCAGAAAATTTGGTAATCACGTGACCGTACACCGCCCTCAGCCCGCCCGTCCGTCCGCACCACAGGGCAACCAATGTTCCATCACACTTTCTAGTTTGGGAGCACAGGAACACTGATATTGCAGACATATTGCACATCAATCTTGTGATCAATTGACAGCTGTCAAAACAGGGTATCCGCTGACCAGTATCATCTGATCATATCGCGGGCTCAGGTGTCGACCCATCGAGGTCGAGTATCTTTTTAAAGTTATCCGCTGACAAGTTACTAGTTTTCAAGTGATTGCAGGCTCAAGTTTAATTTTTCAATTCATATGAATTATGTTGTGTTTTATATGTGCCGCACAATTAAAATTTTGATTTCAAACTGACCTCGGAAGCTAAGAATTAAGCCAGTTTTTATAGGCAGGGAGGACATGCTAGTTGCTTTTGACTTTTCCCACCAAGGTCACGCGTTGGTCACGCTCTACGTCCAATTTTTATACTCTGATTGGTCAAAATTTGACAGGTGAGTTCACGCGGAAAATTTATGCAGCATCTTGAAACTTGTTTACTTTGACAGCTGAAGCTGACAGAGTTTTGTGTCAACTTTGTGATGTTTTTAACTGTCTTTTTCCACTAAATGTACAAAGTGAAATTCAGCTGCTATCAAGAGTCTTCTGTTATTCATGGCTAGTTTGTTTATTGGGTTTTTGGTTGAGAAATACGTCGCTTTGCAAAGTCGGAAATCCGATTCGGATGGCATCGTTTTCGTTTTTCACCTTGCTTGATGCGTAAGACGGTTGAAAAGTCTGAAGCGGTTCTGGCCTTACTTGATAGTTTTCAGTGCATCTCAAAAGGTAAGCCTGAGTAATTATTGTATTTGTTTGTTTTTTATATCTAATTTAATGAAGTCGAACGTAGTTTACGCGGCTATTTGGTTTATGCACGTTTGTAAGATTTGAGACAATGATCTGACCGAGAGTGACCGAGTATCAGGTTTGATTATCAGCTTATGGAACTTTAAAAAGCCTTTAGACATTTTCTCACCGCAAATAGAAAGAAAACGTTCCAAAGAATATTTGGTTACAATTCTGGCTGTAAAAGAAAGCTTTGAGCGATTTTCTTGCCGCGAGTTCGTCTTTGAAAAAAGCAAACACCGGGAAGCCGGCTTAAAACGTAAACAAGGATTTTCAGAGACACTTTACATGTGTAATACTTGTCTTCGTGAATGAAAATTGTTGTCTCTGTATATGTTTCACCGAATTATTTTCCCTTTCTTTATTGATTGTAAGTAGTCTCTTTTGCAATTTTAATCGCTGTGCCGTTTGTTTTCAGTCGCTCATGAACATTGCTTGCAAGAGTAGTCAAAATGCCGCGCGTATCAAACGCTTTTGAAGATTACAGATCTTTATAATAAATTCTTTATTGTGTTGAAGCGTATAACTATATTAATCTTAATTTAAACAGTCGACTTGTCAAAAGTGAGAACTGGCTAGCCGTATAGGTGATTTTGGAAATTTTTTTGACGATTTCGCTAAAAGCCCACACGTGCTTTGATCGTCCTGAATATTGAATGAGTGCAATTTGTATTGCAAAATTGTGAAACACTGCATTCTGTCCGAGGTCTGTATGATGAAAACGGCGCAGGTGTTTTCCAGGCCTAATCTACTGTGATCAAGAGCCATTATGGCTCTTAAATGTGATCGAAGATGATTGCTATTTTTTGGGTGTACATATAAAGGCTATCAACTCGATGTAAGATGAAGTTCACTCTTAGCTTTGACTGTTTGCAAATTATTTTTCTCGAAAATCACGAAGTCTTTCCCTCAAAAGTCACATGAATGTGCTCTAAAGTTAACTGATTTGTGGAATACAAGTTTATTGTTTGATTTGAATTATAAATTCGAGTTAATAGGAGCTTCGCTTTTAGCCCTGGCTAAATTTATATATTAATCTTTATAGTACAATCCACAGGTGATGAACGCGAGGAGGACATAATTGGTCAGATAGCACTTTGGTTTCGTACGAGCAAGAATAGTCTCGCTGTTGCTAGATACACTGAACAGTTTCTCACATTCGGAACAAATAAATTCCAACTTTAGTATTCCTGTCTGTGGCTCCGTTTCTTTCTTAAAAGCGAACTGTCCCGACTTTCCACATCCACTGCATTTGCTTTCTGAAACAGCATCTCGCATAACTTCAGAAGTCGAAATCAAAAACGACGATGGCTTGATGGAGAGATTCTTACTCGTTAGCTCATCAAGTTTGTGACTTTTGCTTGCAAACACACTCTCTACTTTATGGATTGTTCCGTTTTCAGTAACCTTTTGGCAAGGCTGCCACATTTTGTAGCTTCTTCCACTTCAGCGCTGGTAAAATTGACACAGAAGTCAAGTAATTTGTCCGCATGAAGAGCGAGTTCGCCGTCTTGTTTTACACCACTTACTTCGGACGAAGGAGCAGGTAAACCTGAGTCAGTCTGCGTGGCAATAGTTTGGACATGAGCGGGTTGTTGAAACTAATTTCAACTAGGCAAGCAAAATCTTTTTTCGACGGAATGGACCAGCGCGCCTTAGAAATTTCCAAGCAATGTCTTTTCGTCTTCAGTACCTTTCGGCCCGTCATGTTTTCATGTTGTTTTTTTGTTGTTTCCGTTTTGGTCTTTTTTCAGCTTTGTCAGTTTGTTTTGTTTTTCTTTTCCTTTTGTTTACTTTTCCATATTTTCAAACCTGTGGTGACATGCTTCATTGTTTGAAAGTAACAATTTTGCAAAATGTTTTCGAATTTGCCGGGCTCGCGCACTTATGATTTGCTGCGGGTGGCGTTGGCTAAAAATAATGACGCCATCGACCGGAAGTGAAATTGCACGTCCTTAGCAACGCGCGAGATCACGCCAAAGATAGGTCACTGGGCCCTTAAGTCAAACAAACACATTTTCGGGACCATTGACCTAAACTGTGGTTATTCAGCGTCGCTCCGTTATTGCGTCCGAAGTGGATCGGAAAATGTCTGCCTACCCCACCTCTAATTCGAAATTTTTCTTTGGATAAAATGTTTGGTTAGGGGTGGGGAAGGTGATAAGAACCAGGATAGTACCCTTTTAAGGCTCGACGTGTGTCAAAAAGAGTGGCTAAAAAGTCGACAAAACGTTTACATAAAACTGCCATTAATAAGCTTTTCTAAAAAAGAGACCTTCAAACTAGAAGGACAAGAGAAGATAAAGGGGACAGAGAAGGCATTCCCCATACACACCCTATTCCATAGGTAATTCGTCCCGAGTTATTTTTAGAATCGGGATAAAGTTACCTCGCGGGCTGCGTGGATGTTTCGTGGAGGTTTCGCATGACTAAACGCCGTGCAAAACATGTCAGGCGAAAAGCAATGAAAGCGTAAAGAGATCGAGAGCATTCCTGAATATTGAAGCGAAATTAGTCGGCGCTCACCTGGGAAAAGGGAACCGCTGGACTCTTTGACAACCCGTGAAATCAGTTTAACTCGAAGTTGTCGTAACCTCAGTGCTTTGATAAAATGAGAAATTTCGCCGGTCTATTGAAACCGGTCGTTTATAAAATAAAGCAAGTAGGACGCCAAGTGTTATTTTTGTTGAATAATAAAAGACTAATAAAAGGATAAATATCAAACCAGAAATTGCTCTCTTCAAAAAGTAAATTATAAATAATCTTGAGAGAATATTCAGTGTTAAGGATTTCCCTGCTGTACTGATTTATATTCTTGAGTGGTTTCTCAAAAGTAGACTAAGTACATGTAAGTATGATCGTCCTGGTAAGTGTACTCCATGATAAAATTATTGGTGATAATGACTGATGAAGACATCATCAGAGTAAACGATTGTTTTCTTTTTTAAGATTCATTATATATATGCGTGGCGGGTACTAGCCATACCACGAGTGTAACCATTTAATTCAGATAGTTTATTTGGCGCACAGGTGCTTAACCCAATTTGAAGGAACGAACATAAGCACTTACGACTATGACTACTCAGTCACCTGAATGGAATGTTGGTTGACACCCAAGTTTAGGGAGTTTAAGATACCACGACGACGAAGGCTGCAAAAACGTGTCTCTTAGACGTGAATTCGCGATTTTCGATCCTTATCGCGATTAATCCAACTCGAATTCTTTGTGAAATGCACGCGAGCTCCTCTGGAGTCTTAGAACGATATTCAAGTTCCAAAAGTGAAAGGACGTTTCGTGGTCGCTTGTTCAAGTCCTCCAAAACACGTGAAAATAGGCATCTTTACATCGTAGTCGTACACTACTCGGAGACCTTCCTAGCAGCTCCTCCACTGCGCAGCTAAAAGTGTGCTACACATGCAGAGTTGTTGTTTGGCCTGAACCTATAATTTTTTGTTGGCTTCACGCTAGGGACCAAAGGGCACTTGAAGTGCACCTGAAGTCAAGTAGACTTGAGCTATACTTTGGAAAGAAGATTCAATAGATTTTCAGGCATGACTGCGCGCAGCTAAAACATGAAAAGTGGTTTTTGCATGGAAAGTCATAAGGTTTCTAAATTGGTGTTTCAAACACTTTTTCATCTGTTATTATTATTTTCTCTGGGGATTATATTTTTAGGTTCCCTACAGAAATACGATAAATCTTTCATTCTACTAGCCGTGCTGTTAACTCCTCATTTTCGCGTGAAGTTAATTCTTCGCCGCGGAATTTGATTTTCCTGAATACTAGTGTGCACAACTATTGTGACACGCCGTTGATTAAAGAAAAATGATAATTTTTCTTTTGTTTGCGTGTTTAGATGCAAATTACTTGCGAGCACAAGTTGGCGTGCAGGTGATTAGCTGCCTCAGAATTAGATCACAACCTTTTTCTCAACTTAGAATTTTCTGCCCAAAGTCTGCTTGAAATACGCCTTCAAAATACAACTGTTAACTGTTTCAACTGAGTCTTTTTGAAGTCGCAAGTGACTGCAGAATGCAGAGTAGAGAGCTCATTCCCTGTGGAATTTACAGTTTGCGCCCACGTATTTTCAGCCGCAAGGCTGTCCTGTCACCGGTCAAGTGCGCCCCCAAGTAAGGAGTAGAACTTACTTACAACTCACTTGAATTCTTTTTGTTTTACGCTTACCACCAGGGCAACAAACAATCCAAAGAGTGAGGTCATTAAAATTTTCACACTCTAAGTACGCGAGCTACACTTGGGTGATTCCGCACAAACCCACAGCGCGTGCCATTCAAAAAGACGTTTTGGACAAAAGAAGTGGGAAAATATGGCGCTTATAGAAAACAATCTTCTGCAAATTATTTAATAGGCCACTTCCGAGTTCCAAAAACCCCCACTTTCAATGTGAGGCTAGGTGCACAACCTTTCTTATGAAAATTAGTTTATTTGAAACCAAATAAAAAATTTTATGTCTTTCCTTCCAATTTCTTTAATGTATGGATTTTGGGGGGGTGGGGTCGATTGCGGCTTCAAAGGCTTAGAGGCTCTCGAATGTGAACTTTGAATTATCTTACAATGCTTTACGATCGCATGAGAATCACAAGACGAAAAGTAAAATTACTTTTGGGTAATAATCACGAGCTCCTATGATAAGGCTACTCGAAGTAATTTACTTAGCCTCGATCTCATTATCTCGCGGAGACCCTTTATAAGAGGGTGTAACCTTTTGTTAATCCTCTCGGTCTGAAAGCTGACATCAAGCCGAATCTTCGATAGCTGACCCGCTTATCTTTTGAACAAGCAATCGACCCGCCTCCGCCCCAATCTACCACCTATTTTACTTGCTCTGGGTATTTCTTGTAGTTTAGTCGCCTTTTTCTTCTGGCCCTCACCTTTGCTAGACCTATAAATTCGTAAACATTATTTCATATTTTAACATTGATAAGATGATTTTGCAGTTTTGAATAAAACAGACCATTAACTTGGCCATGTTTTTAATCCCAGACCACAGTCTCGGTTTTCTTTGTTTCCTAAGTTAGGCGCTCTAGCAAACAAAGCTCGGCTGTTGGCAGTAAAGGGGGGTTTATTGTTAATGTTTTAGTAAACCGGGGAGGAGACATAAATGAGTTTTATTTGCATGAGGATGAAAAATGATTTCCATATCAAAGGCTGAGGATTTACCCTCGTTTTGAAACAGAGGCCCGTGGGAACTCGGAAAAGGCTTATTACACTCAGCTTACATTAATTTGTTCACAGTCCTATTTGACACATTTTACAAAGAGATTTTAACGTGTAAATAAATCAGATGAGTGCTTCAATACGTAATTCATATTCCCTCAGAAAGGAGTTCCACTGAAAGTACGCATCAAGTGCACTTAAGAGCCCTGATACGTGTGAATTGGCCTATATTGCTTTTTTGACGTTCTCGTTCCCGTCGCCGCCGTGGCCAGGTAGCATCTTAAACTCCCTGTTTATTATAGCCAGTGCACGTCGGTGAGTAGACAGTGACCTATTAGAGAAACAACCTTGCGGAAATTTATATAACTCTGTGAAGAGAGACAGGGTAAAGCAAGTGAACGACAACATGGTAGAGTGCAAAGACTCGTTCGTCGAACTCGATAATGCTGAATACAGGAGCAATCTTTTAACAAAGATGACATAACTGTGACTTATTCAAAATAGCATTATTCAGTCGACTCAGCTCGACACTTTAATCCAATAAATGTACTTGACTTTATTCAGTTGTATTTTACAGATTTAAGCACAATTTAAATTTTGATTAAGTTCATACTTCCATCCATTTAGTGCCTCAACTGCAGTGGAACTGTGCACGTCATTCTAAAAGAAAATGTGACAGAATATTTGAATATTTGTTACATCGCTGCAAACTTGAATTCCTCAAATGTGTGGTCAAAAACTTGAAAAACCCCTTTCTTTAGTAAAATTTGAAGTCTTTTTTTTATAATTTCTCCTTTTAAAACTAATTCCCATGTATTATTTTACTGGATCCAATAATTTGCGTTTTTCTCAGCATTTCTAATGTTGCCGCTAGTTTGTGATATATTGTGAGATATTTCAAAAAAACAAATCATATACTTATTTAAAGTTCTCAGCACCCTTAGACACAAAACCGGTTTTCAGGTCACCAAAACTCCCTCTTCCGTTATAAATTGGTACTTTTTTAAAAAATACGATATACGAATTTGCCTTCAAATCTTACCCTTTATTCATTATTCTGAAAAAAGAAACTGATTATCACTATTATTACTGACACTCATAGCTGTATTTAATCTACCTGATTGACAGCCCTCTAGTACCATCAGGCATTTTGCAGTTCCGTCCATTAGACATGTGCACTGTATGCAGTCGCTTCCAGACTTCTTCAGCCATTGGTCACCAGGCCCCAGCTGTTGTCCGTTGTGGTAGCAAGCTGTGAAGCAATTTACAAAGTAAAAGGGTTTTAAAAAGGCTTGGAAATAATAAAGGTTTTAAAAATACAAACCAGCAAATAAAAATAACACATACGAATATTTATGGGCTTAGTGGAAAGAGCCGATATAAACTGAACTACCTGAGAGTATTACATTGCAAATTTGAAAGCACTTTCTACTGAGGACATGACATTAAGCGATAGTTCAATAGCCGTGATGTTTATAAGGAAACTTCCTAGTAGAAAATGGATAAAACCTGTCGAAATTTGCTCCGAAGTTTCCGAAAACTAAAGTTAAAAAGAATTTTGCAGCTGACAGCTGAAAAATAGGTTTAAAAGTGACCACAGCTTGGCAAAAAAGGTTGTCGAGGGTACGCAGTCCTCACAGTTAAAATTTCTCTTAACCTGACTAAAAAGCTAAGGATTTGCTTATTCTGTATCCACGTCATCAATTTAAAAGTGTAAAAACAAATAGTTTTGTAGTAGCAAAGCCTAACTACCAAAAAACAAAGCTTGAAGAACTTGAAGAATAACAAATAGCAGGCATTCCGCATCGCACACATTTAAATGATTTTTAGTTACTGATTGGCTGGTAAGTTTCTTTTCACGCTTCTGATTACCGACGATAGCTTAGTAATTACTATCTATGAGCTCATAGGTGGTGAGTATGATTGTCAATCAGAATGCGGGATTTGCCCATAATAACAAATTTTGTACGTTAGTAAGACAACCTCATTTACTCTTTAGGATTCTTTCTCTGAGGCGCGCGAAGAAAACCGGTTCGTTTGCAAAAGCGACTTTCCCATTTTGCAACTGGTTGTTGTTTATTAACTGGCCACCAACTCTGCCAGAATACTCACCACAACTGGGGCAACATTGTCCTGGAATCTTGACTGATTTCTCGCAGGCCACCTTCTGAATATCACAATCGTATATCTTATGACAGGTATGTTTGCCAGATTGACATTGGCACTGCTGACAGTATATGCTACTCTTATCAGCAGATTCTTTTAGCACCTCTGCGCTTGCTCCATCTCTGAATAACAGACCATTAATCTGACAGCTGAGGGCATGCTCATCGGGGTTGACTGGAACTGAAAATGATAATGATAAAGATAATGTTAATGATAGTAGAGCTCTCGCGCAGCCGAGCACCATGGGTAAGAAAATTTGTTTGTCTATGCATCCAAAAAATCGGGGTTCTGACGACTCGTCCGAAAGTCCGTACGTCCTTTATGTTAGCGGATGCGAAATATATATATCACACTTAATCGCTAGGAGTCCAAGCCATATACTATCTGTGTTTAATGGCATTGGACATCCATGTTATGGTCAATTGACAACTGACAAAATCAATAGACGGTTCGAAACGCACCAATGACATTACAAGTCTTCATAGCCAACAACATCAAGGCTTAACTGACAGACGACCAATAACATCGCGACTTAATCTTGACCAATCAGGTCAATAACCAAGAGTAAAATACCATCAACCGACGTGATTCAATTCACTTTGATTCTGCGAAGATGACTACCGCACAGATTGTCGAAATGTCAGTCACTGTCAACAGCAACAGTCCTATTCAGGACTACGTTAACAGGGACGATCGTACTCAACCTACCTGTGAACAAAAATAATGTTAAGTTGTCGGCGCATGTTTCGATCTCATCATTGCCTCTACCACCGCACTTCCTCACCAAATAAGAGTTTCCATAGTTTAATAAAAATCTTGAGGAAGCATTTTACCAGCTTTGGTGACATAAGAAAAAAAACTCAAAGAACATTGATGGTTTCTTAAGAAAGTTCTATCCCAGTTTTCCAGGTGTTCAGATGTGGAAGGGCGGAGGGGAGGAGGGGGGGGAGGTTCAAGAAGAGAACTGTCTTTTCGTTTCGCCCTGTATTAAAGCCAATCCCTACAACTTGTAAAGAAATGGCGAAGAGTCTTTGCAACTTTCTATAATTATGACACCAGTGTCTAATTATTCATTGTTTTGTTCTCCGTCCGAATGAAAAAGACTAGTAGCATGGACTGAAAATTAGATTTAACACTGGGAATTGTGATCAATTTCAATATCCGTTTTTATCCCGTTTCATCGTGAAACTGCGTGATGTATTGTAATACTGTTTACACAGCACGTAAGGTCATACCACATTCAGGACAGCACTGGCCAGGTACTATCTTATAACTTGCACAATCGGAACTGTTAAGATGGCAGTGGAAGATATGATGACATCCCTCAACATTGCTGTTATTGCATGTGCACTGGTGACACGCCCCTGTCTTTTTGTCAGCGGACATCTTTAACACTTCCATGCTCTCTCCGTCCTTGTAATAGATGCCGCTGACTTTGCAGCTTGGTGGAGTTGGCCTTGTTATTACTAAATGTAAACAAACAAATGTAAATAATACACTTCAGAACTAAATGAGGACAAAATTATTGAAGCACAAACACTGAGCCTCTGCTTTACCCATTTTAAGCCCCAATAATGAGTATTAACTAGCTTGTTCTAAGCGTTCAGATAAAGAGGACGGCGCAAAGAAACGTGGCATGAAAGCAAAGCGAGGGGTTGCGGGCAGGGAGAAAGAGCGAAGGATTACCCTGCTCTCTCCCTCTTCCTCTCTTCCGCTTTCTTTTCTCCTGTTCTCCATTTCGCGCCAATTTTCACTGGAACGCCGTCAGCGTGAGTATGGCTAGAAGTCTTAGCCGAGATGTTACCTACCACGAGCACAGGTTGGGCAGCACTGCCCTGGTGCTTTGATGAATTGCGTGCATCCGGGTTTGTTCATCTCGCAGTAGTAGATCCTGTGACAGTCCTGCAGTTCTCCCCCCTTACAGGTGCACTGATGGCATTCCGACGTTGCTTTTAGTCCTAAGGGCTTCAGGACCTCCATACTCTCACCTTCCTTGTAAAGTCGGTCTTTGACTGTGCATTTTGGTGCGTTATCAGGGACGTCTTAAAGAAAACAACAACGGAAATCAAAATTTTAGGCAATAACCCAAGGATAACGAGGTTAACTGCAAAAACCGTGGACGAAGATCCTGCTGATTGGCAACGTTGGATCGCGAGAAAAGAGATCTAATCAGCTATAAAATATTAAGAACAAAAACCGAGAAGTCCAAAGACAACTGCAAAGCTGACATTCAACGCATATTGCTTTTTTGATAAAAGGGAAGTCCTCAAGGGATCAAATTTCTAGATCCTGTCCTTGTGCCCTTAAACTATTCCCTGCGACTTGAAAGATTGCAATGTCTATGGTGAAGTATGAATGTGAGATTACTTCCATTATCATGAGACTACTAGAAATTCATGTCTTAAAAATTGCTTTTTATCCTCAAGTTGACTTTTTTTACTGTTTTTTACTGAAGCTGTTTCTCAATTTGAATAACAATAAATAAGGTTGTGAGATCATCAGACACAGGGTGAACTCTGGCGAGATGTTATGAAGGACTGCTATATTAGTATATAACCAACTTGTTAATAGTCGCTAACAGTTAATTTACCCACAATACCTCGCTCACATGTGGGGCAGCACTGCCCCGGTTTCTTTGAGTAACTATTGCAGCTTGAATCGTTTAGAACGCAGTGGAAGATGTGGTGACAGTTAATTAGCATTCCATCCTTGCACGTGCATTGTTCACATTCACCATTGGCCAGATCACCTTTATACACCTCCATATCGTCACCATCTATGAAAGTTTGTCCCTCGACTTCACAGACAGCATTTGGGGCTTTAACTGGAATGGGGTTTACTAAGAAAGAAAAAAGCAGATGCTACAGTTAGTCTCTGATTGTTGTCGGACAACAGTGATATAAAAGTTCCCACTGCTCGATTGCTCGCTACAAAACGGCTATTCATACTGATTAGGTAGGTAGGTAGTTAATAGTTTATTTAAAAATTCCTATCATAAGAGAAACACGCTAGCCTGAACAACACTTGGCTGGTGTCCATCGAGGGTGTTTTAACGCATTTAAAAATTTTATATAAATCCGTTAACTAATACTAATGCAATAATGCATAATGCAATAACGTTACCCTACTGTGTTGACGTGACTAATAAATCCAGTTTATAATGGCAAACGTTACTTTATTATTTTTATTAAACACGGTAAATCTATCAGATAAAATAATAATAATAAAAAATTACAATCTACTTTAATCTATATAAACATTACAACGTTATGGCATCTATATAACGTACGTAAAAAACAACCAAACTACACGTTTTACAATATATATCAATGATATTAAATATAAACTTTAACCCTAAGGGGGGTACTCCGGATTTCAAGTGACGGGGATGATCGAATGGGGGCAAAAATCAAAACCCAAAAAAATCCCTACAGCTTCCAACAAAACCAAAAAAAATCCGTTGAACAAACATTAATCTCCCAAAAGACCCATGCCGAATTTCCGAGCCTTAAAATTTCCAGAAAGCATTAAATGATATGGCATGTTTACGTTATTTGGTGTATTACATTATTCGTAGAACTACGCGGCCGGGATAAGCAAGCACTACCATGAATATCAAAAAAAAAAATCCCTCCTTAAATCTGCAGGCCACCCCGAAAAAAATACGTGCCCAATTTTCCCACCCCCCAAAATCCCGCCGAATGGAAAATTTCAAACTCAATAAAATCCTTCGATCATCCCCGTCACCAGTAAAAACAGGAGTACCCCCGGGACTTTAACACCTACTACTGGCGGTGGTAGAACGTGGTAGCAAAATCCTTGTTAAAGTTCAAGCGAGTAGCTAGAGTAAGTTATGAGGAACCAAGAATCCAATCACATTTTGATTTCCTTAACTGGTGCTATTATGGCACATTAAGTCTGCTGCCAATCAAATCCACAATCTTCCACAACTACTGATCAGGAAACTTATTAAAATAGCCAAGTCGTAACATGTTTGGGTCAACCAAAGCAATGTAGTTTCGATCAATTTGTATTAATCAGATCATTTTAGTAAGACTAAGTTAAAAAAACTCACCTTTGATACGATAGACAAAATTAGCCCAATCTTTCCCAACGCCACTGACGCAGTTGTTGGATTTACCGTGCTTGTCGTAATTACTTTGTGCGTTTTTACTCGAGTAACATTCTCCGTAAAATTGAACCCCAAACATGGCAGTATAACCCTTTTTAAAGGCTTCTTCGGCACATAGCTGAATAACAAGGGTCATGTCGGGCCACTTTTCCCACAATTTCTTTCCCAAAAAATTTCTGAAATTCTTTACTTTGTGGTTAAGAGCTCTGTCATGTACCCTGTCTTGAAAGCAACCAACTGGCTCGTAGTCAATTTGAACTGTTAGAGGGGAAAAGCTATCATGTTAGTTTGAATCCCTGGATCAGTATAAGATTGAAAGATGAATTTACGTATACCTACCCCTCCCCTAAACTAACACTCAACAAGTGAAAAGAAGGGTAAGTGTTATCGTTGGGTTAGGGGAGGTGTGGGTTTGCAGTTCTTAGGGGTTCGTCGCTGCGAGACGAGCCAAAAATACGTCTGCGGGGGAGGCTACATTTCACCTGAATACTATCGAGCACATATTAGCCTCTGCGACGCTAATCTCCCTTTGTCTCTTCACAGGCAACGCTCGGAGGAGCTTGGTTTAATTGGCTACATTAACGGTGTAAGCTGTAAGTTTTTGTCCAAACATAGTCTCCTTGTAAATTTTTAATTGCTCAGACAAATATGCCCAACATTTCAATCTTTTTTTTGGCATTGAAGAGGAGAGGATGTAGTCACATGAAAAGAACTGTTCAATGCAGCATTGATCATCTCATAAGACCTTGTAAAAGTTCCTCAAATTAAAATAGGCACAGCTCAAATGAACGTTTCCAATACAGCTCACTCCCCAATCAGTAGTTTTTTGTCAGAAACATGTCTGTGAGAATCTTTCTGAACAGTAGTTCAAGGCCTCTCTAGTCCACAGACTTGCCCTCCATTTCCATGTTTAGAATATATCAATGCGACGAATACCCTATTTTATTATACAATGCATCATGCTCACAGTATTAGTAAGGCTGAGTTCTTGACTTAACTTACCGTCCACGTCTCTGACAGCAATCCTCTTGTGATGTTCAGCCTTCTAAAGGTAAATTAGAAAACATATATTGCTGTGGTACCCGAACAATACAATTTTCTTACTTCATTGCAATTCTTTTTAATAATAAGTCAGGGGGTGAGTAGTCATGAGAGTCTAGATGACTACAAATGATTGCAACTGATACGGTACTGGCGGCAGGAAGTTTAGACCTCCCTGATCCCCCCCCCCCCCCCCCCCCCAAACCAAAAAAACAAAAAACCACTTAAAATTTATGAAAAAGAAACAAATATAAAAAAAAAAAAAAAAAAAAAAATAAAAATAAAAAGATCAACAACAAGACAACAAACATAATAAAGTACAATAATAAAAAATAAAAAAACAAAAACAATAATGCAAAACTCATTTGAAATTATGGAAGAGAGCTCATCATTGAGTAAAAAAAAAAATTAAAATATAAGTTTAACGGGTACCCTCAATTGATCATCCCGAATTATGTAAGGAATTAAATGATACAAAACGAAACAGAAGCGTGAATAAAATTTTATACGAAAAACTTAAAAATAATTGTAGTTGACTTTACCTTCGTAATGTGTTTTCCCTCAGCGGCCGTGTGTAAACTAAAAATCACCAGTAAAACCTGAAGTAATACTCTTGATTCCATTTTCTTGAAGAAAAAAAAAAGATAATAATAATGTTAGCAATGTTTAGAAAGTAGATCTATGCGTTTCTGAACACGGCACATACACATTTACTTCCTATTCCAAAAATTCAGGCAAGTTTGCAAATGAAGTTTTTCTGATTCGGCAGAGCTCTAAAGTGAGTAAGATAGTAAATATAGTTTACTCTCACAAATTCAGTTCTGTTTTTTAACAAGATGTGTTTGTTTTCTAGTTTACTTTTCGATGCTGTTTTCCCGCTAAATGACGATTCGAGTCGGATCGGAATGATATCTTAAGGAAACCCAAAAAGTTTGTTAAGAGGCCATAGCCACCATTTCGTTTTCCGTCTTGCGGTCTTAAAGGTGATATTATACAACAAAATTTAGGAATTTTAGAAACGGTGAAGTGACAATCCGTTCTTTATTTCCTTCTACATAGAATCGTGATAAATTGTGGGCGTTTTTACTATGTTCGTGGTCACATTTATTAGAACTCGTGTCAGGAGACAATTCACAGAAAAGAGAGACATTTTAGGATCCACATTATCATTCACACAATAACAGAATACAAGTTTCACTTTTCGTCGCTTCGGTTATGAGAAATGCGTCCACTAAGTTATGATCTTGTATTCACCTTCAGGTCGAGCGTCAAATGAACTCTTCACGTTTTTAGTTTTAAGGTGAGCTTGAACACAAAAATGAGTAACAAAGACCAGTACAACTTTGGAAAATGCTGGGAAAAATATGTCCAGATAACCCAAACATCTTACTAAGGGGAATTTTTTTAGTACAGATTAAGTTTACAACATTGTTACTATTTTTGATCAAGTAATTTTTCATGCGGCTGACCATAGTATTTTCTTCTTTTAGGCTTTGAATGGGTGGACAATATTTAATGCCTAAAAACGGGTAGACGCCGGTCCACAATCAGCTCTCGGAAATCTCATATAAACGGACAGGCGTTAAAAATAAAAGAATCAAGAAGCGGTTTCTTGGCGCAAGGATTGTAATAATCACTTTCTTGCTAATCTAGTTCGCTTCACGAAGTGTTCTTTTGTTACAATTAAAAAGAAAAAAAACCTTGCCTGTACTTGGATATTAAACCAGTATACAGATGCGAATTAAGTTTGTTATTCAAAGGGCTGCAGAGAATAATATCTGAGTTAAATAAACGTAAAATTTTTGCAATAAACGTGTGTCTTGCGAGTTTCCTTCATAGATAAACACAAGGAAGGTAACCGTTATTTCTCTGCAGATGATTCAACATTGTAATTAAAGTTCACTCGACACTTACCAAGATTTAAGCTTTAGCCACAACAAGTTTTAAGGGTATTGCTTCATCAGCTTTGTGCAGGAAAAAACCTTGATAACACAAGAAAGGTGTCTGATTAGTTTGGATTACTTTTCTTCTTTGTTACGGCCTTAATTCTATTGTCTAGCACGTCGAAACATCAAAATAACTGCAATTTTTAATTTTCAAAAGAGAAGATTTTCCATCACTTCAAACAACCGCCTTCCCCTTGTGTGTAAATATTAAAACAATCGCTCATTTAAACAAATATACTGTAATAACATGCTTAAATCAGTGCATCTAAGAGCAGTCAGGCCAAACACACAGAAATTCTCAATTAGCAGTTTTCTTTCATTGCTACCGGTCTTAAGGGTAGCTTTTGGTGCACTGTCCAACGAGCAGGCAATCTATGTTTCAGTCGGGACATAGAAAGTTATCCATTCTATGTTAAATGGGTACTTGGGCAATGACGAATTTTCAAAAGCGCCTTAAAGTGGATGCCTATAATTTTTGTCGATAAATTATAGGCAAACAGTACTCTCCAATTTGAAAGAATATATTGAAATAAATCAATCAAAAGATTTCTTCATTTTTGTCGTTAAACTTTTTGAGACGCTGTCGACATTGATTTTGACTTAAATTTGTTCGAATGTTCGTATTTTCATTCAATGTTTTAGTTTGCGTAAATGATATCAAAATCTCAAATAGTGAATAATTGAGGTATCGGAAATAATGAAAAGCAAACATTAGCTAGGAAATTGGCTTGTGTCTTATTTGACATAAAAGTTATCATTCAATCGGAAGAAATTAGTCCGATCGTATAGGAAACTTGACTTCAGTGGCAGCTGTTTTTTTCTCCACTTTGGTTTTAAACCAGTTTATCATTCATTACCTTTGACTTAAAAAGGGATAATCTTTCCTTATAGCTTTAGGGGGATTTACATGTTGGCCTTGTAATTCTGGGGCGTTAACAAAGAGTTCATAGCTGACCCAGTAATATTATCTACACATATGCAAACACCCCTCTCTAAAAGACCCAGTGGAATCTATATCTCCACCGGGTTCTCGGAGAAAACGTCACTGGGTTGGCTTATTTTCCACTAGGTTTTTTCTTAGTTGTGTATCTCCCTTAATTAAAAGCTAAACGGGGTGACAGTCCTTACATCTTAACGGATTTGAAACCTTGGAAATCCTTTTACATATTACTCTAACAAGAAGAACTAAAAGATTTACACATTCATACGGGATCGATTACTTGTACCCTCCGATTTCTTTTGTCAATGGTAATAATGTTTTATATTTTTGCTCCTTTTAAACAAATATGAATGGCGAAATACACTGGTTTTGTAGAAGTCACAATAAAAAGTGACCGGGGAAGCATAAAATTAGCCGGATAACAACAAACTATTCGTTAGTATCGGGGAGGCTACTGGGGGACTATATTAAACCCGCTAGGTCGGCTTTCACTGCATGGCTCTGTTACAGAGGGGTGTATACAAGGTAGAGCGTTCCATTTCCCCCAATCGTAGCATCCGTCCATAACCAACATAACTCACTTTCAGTTTGGATGCATCTGCAAAATTGAAAGTTGATCCTTTCATCAAAAGATGTCTGAGAATGAAATGTCCCTTACGCTTAAGAGCCTTTTTTTGAGTGAATTTTACACATTTAATTCAATTAACATCTAGCTCAAAGAGATCACTTTCAAACCTGTCGTTCTCTTCTGCGCATAACCATTTACAGTTATAATCCTCGTTGTAACGCTTGACTTCGGAGATCCCACTTACCGCAGCTTAAAACTTCAACTCATCGTCGTAATAAGACGTGTTGTGGCAGGCCTAGGACTGCTAAGTTACGGAAAGCCATCATTTCACACTCCCTTAAGAAGCAATTTTTTGGTCTGATATTAAAGCCAAGTGAGGTCTGGCTCAGTCTTTAATCTTAAGATTAATCGCTTACCTTTCGTATCAACTATTTTCTGCGTGAACTTTTAACTCGGGCCAAAGGAACCTCAGTGATTGAAGGATTCTGTTTTGTTTTACAACCATGCAGCCAAGCACCTATCCCTATTATTGAAATTGCTTTCACAGGCGCGCGAAAATTGAAAAAAAAGCTTTTTTTAATATAAAGAAACTATAAATCATATTCGGAGCGCCTGCTCTTCTACCGCTTTCGTTACTCGCAATCGATTTAATTAAGAAGAGGATAGTTCTTTTCTTGTTGTTTTTTACTTTAAGTACACATCATCTTGTGCAGGTTTGATAACAACTCTTTCAGGAAAAGTTATCTTTCTCTGACTGTTACATATTTCTAGAAACCCGAAAAAGGAATAATTAAAATACGAAATTTTTCCGACCTGAATTCATGAGACCAGTTTAGTCGCTCTTTTAGCTCTGAATGGAGAAAAAAGCCGCAAACAATCCGAAAATTTGATTTACGGGAAGTGGCTCAATTTAAGTCGTGTTTAAACAAGTAAATCATGCCCGATAAGGTTCATTTATTATTACTGATAATAAATAAAGAAAAGAATTACCAACCTAGCGGCTTATGTCTGCCCTATCAAAAACTTTGTTGAGCCTAGCTAATTTGATAGTAAATTTAAGACTTGAGATCTTGCAATTTATCTTAAAAGCACAAGTACAGAAAAGTGAAGTCAATTTTTCGCTAATTGGATTATCGTAGTAATATCATAGGTGACGAATTACTCCTTAATTTTGGCGCGAAATTTCAGCGATAATTTGTAATTTCACATGTGAAATTACAAAATTGCCATGGCAACCTTTCGTACGTCTCAGTGTCAAGATGGCGACGAAGTTTTTAAATGTCATGAATGAAGATGCTAGGGCATAAAAAGACGCTTTAGAAAACCTGAACACACGAAAGAGCACCTCAAGAAGGATTCTAACAGGTATTTTGTCGAAAAACCCTGAACTTAAGCCAAATTTAAGCGCTAAACGTTCGAGAGAGTGCAGGAGTTCTCGATCAATAAACATGTCAAAATCCAAGATTGCTAACGTAATTCGTCACCCATGATATTAATAGGTAATCAGATGGTATACTCGCGAAATTAGGGAATAATTTCACTTGCGTTTTGTCCAAATCCTAATAATTTCCCTCGCCTAAAGCAGGGTTTTTCGGAAGGGAAAAATGTTGTGATATCTGCGCAAAAGTATGTCAAAGTAGTTCAATGCAATGGCGAAAAAGAGTTTATTTTTAGTGGCTTTTATTATACAGACACGATTGTTTTACTGGAAAATATACCACTCGTAAAATTCACAAAAACTACATCCGGGACACGAGTGGTTTATTTTCCATAATCTCATACGTGAGTTTATCGATGACGTATTTCGGTAATTTCCCTTCGAAATTTGATGGCGTCTTGCGTCTTTTGAATTTTACTCACACATTTTTTCAAAGCTTTTGTCATTGTAGAGCCCTATCCAGCTCAGTGTTGTTTCTCAAGATTATTGTAACCATTGTCTTATATTGCTGTACTGTAAATTTGAGCCGTCACAATTACTTTTTGGCGAATAATAGTCCATTATTTTATCGATGTCTTTTTGTCTATATAATAAAAAGAACATTACAAGGCGGCTTGAAGATATGAATTTTATTTTCTCGTAGCAAAAACAATATTTTACTCTCTCGCTGCGCTCGTTCGTAAAATATTGTTTTGCCACTCGAAAATAAAATTCATATCTTGGCGCCACCGTGTAATATCCTCTATATCTATAGCCCTCAATAACAAGCTCAGTGGTGCGTTGAATTTTTTTCTGTGGAAGACGAATTAAAATTTATTTACCCATTGAATTAAAGCGAAGACATCTTAGCTGACTCATGATTCTTAGATCATTTAGCCTCTGCTTGAAAGAAATTTTGTCTTAACATCGTTCAACGCTTAACCGGGGTGTGTTTTTCAAACTAATCACTGTAATTTCGTTTGCATGCCTCAGTGTCACTTGATCTTTCTTGTATTTGCTGTGACTGAGTCATACTAATGTGGCCTCCATATATTGATTTTACGATGGTGAAAACTTTGCTCACTAATTTAGTCAGTAAAATTTGCAACATTTTCGTCGCGGAGGCAGTTAACGCTGGAAAACTAGTGAAAAGTTCAGACAAGAATTTAAGTAAAAAGAAATTGAGATATGGGGACGGCGACAGTTGTATGGTGACGTCATGCAGGTCACATTCGCCATCTTAGATTTTCATGATGGTAGAAAAACCCTTAAACTGATTGTAAAGACTTGGACAGAACCAGTAGATTGTTGTCTTATTGATCTAAAAAAGTAATTGCCATGAGACGTTTAAAAATTCTCAATTGACTTATAAATTGTGTTTTAGAGAAGAAAAGACCAGAGGAATAAAACAGGTTTCTTTCTGCTTTATTCAACAAACTGCTGCTATCAAAATTAATTCAAATCAAGATTTAATTTTCCTATTTGTACATATGCTTCAATAGCTCTTCAGTTCCTGAAAGGATATGTATACGTCCTGCAACAAAAGACATCAAAAATTAAGTTCTTTACAGACCAGGATAAAGGATCCCTAGATTATTCCTCTCATGTAAATTTTGGTAACAAAACGCCAGCAAATACAAATCCCAAACATTTGTTTATTTTACTTCAAAACAGCGTTGCGAGAATTTGTCTTTGGCTAAAAGTTTCCGGGTGTTTTACATCTTTTTACATCTTACTTCTCATTTTTTGCCTGGAAAATGACGTCACAAATTAAGGCCTTATAATGGTTTATTATTATGGGATACTTGTATAATGACAGCGTCTGAAAGAACAGTTTAGTTTAAAATGATGGCAAAAAAGAAAAAAAAAACACTCGAAGGATAAAACGTTTTGAAATTAAATTTTCTCGTCGCTTTCACTTGTCACTGAAAGTAGCTAAAAAGGCTTTCCTGGGAACAAGGCCCATATGGGGAGCTGGCCCCCATACCGTTCCTTTCTTTCTTTCTTCTCTTGACCACGTAAAGGGATCCTCAAGAAGGAATTATGACTAAATTCCGTATCGGAATCTCTGCTTCCTCCGACCCCTCCTTCTTTCAGAAACCGAGCGCTGGCTAATCAAAACTTGTTCCACAGATGGCAGTGTGTATAAAAACTTTTATCAACATTATCCACCCCACCTAATTACGAAGACTGATTCTCTGTGGGGTTGATGTGATTGGTGCCGGTCCTTATTCATAATTGAACTTAACGTCAGCGAAGAACTGATATCTTGTACTTGACGAAATCACAGCTTGGTGTCAGACATTATTACTGAAAAAATGCCAGACTAACAAGTTTTTAAAAACCACTATTACAGCCAGTTCTAATTTTCTTCAAGTTCGTTATCCTTTCTTTAATTTGGCATTTTAGTCCCCACTGTGAATGGTTTGAGAGATTATTTTTATATGATCAGTTCCTCAGTTTGGTGGCAGTTCCCATAGTTTGAAGGAAGCGGGGTACTGGGCCTTGACAACAGAAACAGGCGGCTCCACGTCATACTATAGCTGATATTCCTGGGCATGAAACTTCTCTTAGAGTACATGTTATCCCAAGAGGAGAATTTTAATGAATCCAAATGTGATGACGTCATTCGTTGAGATCTCTCTTTTGTGTTAATTCCAGTAAAACTTATAACAAATGATTTACATACCCATCTAATCCTTTCACTGGCTGTCATTCATGTCTTCATAGTCCACGCCTTCGTTACCCCAGGGAAATTCAGGAAACACCGGAGGCGTACGGGGAGTGGTGAGCACAATAATGGTGAAGCCTTGCGTAGCTGTTGTGGTGGTGGTCACTATGTGTAGAGATAGAAACATAGATGGCTGTGTCAGTGAAGAAAAAGTCCGAGTACTCCCAACAGGAGTCGAACATATGACGTTGGGATTACTAGTGCAGATGCTCTACCACTGAGCTACAAGATACTCAGTGGAGCTATATAATTATAAAAGCCCACTAAAATACTTAGTTCATTAATATAATAATGTTATAATGTAACTAATGTAATAAAGTACATTTTTGGTCCTGACTTTCTTTTCCTTTTTTTTAAATTTGATATTCTCTGGAAAGAAGAAGAAGAAATCGACTCCCACGTTCCTTGCAAGGATCAAGATTAAAATGCAATTTTTTTAACTGTTCCTTTGAGTGTTCCGAAAAATTTTCTTCCTAGTTAACTAAGATTCCGTGCGAGAAAACACTCTGAAGCAAATGCTATGGTTCAAGAAAATTCACACTTAATCTAAAGTTGCGTTATGCAAAAACGAGGGCCCTAAAGATTCTTGCTCCTCCTACCTGGTTTATTGTTCCATTTAGGCCCCTATGCTTTCAATTAACCTGGTCCATTGGACGATCGCGAAAGTTTAATGTGCGTCATGATCTACATGTACCTCTTTCCATACCCTCAGGACACATCTGGTGCCTTGTCTTTTATTAGTAGACAAAAACATCAGGAGCCCCTGACTCCTGCCCTGGCCCCTCCTTTATACTCACCCGGATCACATCTCGGACAACACCTTCCAGGAACAGTGACTGTGACTCCTTCACAAGGCATACAGTGTATTTGATAGCATTCAGCAGCTGCTGATTCTGAGCATGAGCACTCGTAACACACATCAGGAGTCGTGCGTCTGATCCAGGAGTCACCAACAGACTTTTGTTGGCCATTGCTGACACACTCTATAAAACAAGAGGGTGTGGATCTTTCATTTCTTAGAAAAGCAACTAAGTTTGATCAATCAATCAAAATACCATAATAACATGTAAGAAGTTGCTTTTAACTATCAGCGTTATAAAAAAAATGCCTTACAAGGTGACTTAAAATTTACGACGGGGGATGGAATCCTAAAGGGATCGTGTCGAGTAAAAGATATACTAGACGGTAATTTTTCCTTCGTACTGTTTACAAGGTGATTAAGAATCATTGAGTCAATGGATGAAATCCTCAGGTATGACCGTTTAGATGATGTACTTTCTTCTTCTGTGCACAAAAACACTAAGTTCATCCTCTGAAGTATGCTAATTGATATCTCACTTTCACTACGCTGGACAGTAAACAGCCTTTAAGCTAAACTGGGAGACGGCCATAATTAAAGAAATGAGTCTCGTTAAGTCACTTTTTTCTTACCACATTTTGGGCAGCATACTCCTTCCACACCAACGCTCCACCTTTCGCAACCATCTATTGAAAATGAACCGAGGCCGATGTCGCAGTAGTAGAAATTACAGTTATTAATGCTGCCAGCCGAGCAGTCGCACACGGTACAACCGGCGCTCTCAATAGGGGTAGTGACATTATGATAAATAATTGTATCGCCATTCTGGTATGTTCTGCCATTTGCTTGGCACGTACCTGTATGGAAATGCAAACATTAGATGACGTTGTCTGTTAGTTACGTTTCCGTTGCAGTGTGTATATTGACATCGTTACCCAGAAAAAAGCAGATGACTTTTAAAATAATAAGGTCTAAAAGTGAAGGGCTTAAAAGCTCGTCTCCATCATGGTCATTATCAATTTTTGTCAAAAAGATGCTTATTAAGCAATAACCCCTTTACAGTTAAAAGAAAATACATTTTCGACTCAGAGATGTAGACAGAAAGAATTATCACAGTCCAGCAGTCTCTTTGGAGAGCTTGACCGTCCAAAATTATATGGTACCACTTCGAAGACACAAAAAGCTGCCCATCAAACCTATCATCTCATGCACACGCTCATAACGGTTTAGTAACCTCCTCGCAGTGTGATACGCATAGGCGAGTATCTTACTAACGAGAACTTATCAGTCCTAGCAAAGTGCTCCTCGCACTAATAAAAACTCTAAGGGAGTGGCTCATTGAACTTATTTTTTTCTTGAGTGGGTTTTGTCAGGTAAAATTTTAGGAAATATTCTGTGAAAATCATTTGCAGAATTCTGTAAAAAACACTATAGAAAGTACAACCGGTATACACTACTTACCACACCTTTTCTCTCTACCTCTCTTTGTTGATCGATATCATTATATGAAAATAATAAACAAAAACAACATCTTAGCAACTAAGGGAAAAGGATGAAATAATCTTAATTTTAGAGGGGATGTGAACTAGTAATCATGGTAAAAAAAAAACACTTACATAACTATGATGTCAATTTACTTTTAAAGGTCAAAATGACGGGTATTACCGGAAGCGACTACTTTTAGTGAACCTGTCCAACTGGTCAAGTTGGAGGTGGCATTTTCACGTCGTCACTTCCCCTGAAGAAAAAAAGGTCTCTGCTTTCTCCTCAGTAGAGATCGAGAAAAGAGAAATTATGGCATTGGCCGCAAAATTAGTTTAATAAGGGCTACCTAAGGTGGCTTGACCTAGTATTTTCATAGGCACACCCTCCATCTTTGAATCTCCTACACTTCTTAATCAACAAATCTGTCTATATTGTAAATCGATTATAATAATGGCAATGATGTTACGATGTGACCTGTTCGGCATTTTCTTTTGAAATGCTTTACGTTACGTATTGTCTTCTGCATGCGGTGCGAAGTTTCACAAAAATCTACAGCTTATAAAAGAAATTTCAAGATATCATGGCATTTCTATAAAAAGGATATAAATTATACATGCACTCATGAGTGGACTTAATGCAGAAAAATTTGCTACTTTTTGGATGTTTCCGAAAAGGTTTTATCACTCATTCGTTTTGCAAATGACCCTTATACACTTTAGAAAGAAAAATTTGCTACTTTTTGGATGTTTCCGAAAAGGTTTTATCACTCATTCGTTTTGCAAATGACCCTTATACACTTCAGAAGGCGCTGAACGCAGGTGCTCTTGCGCGAGTTCGAAACACATCAAAACGTATCAATCAGGGTAAAACGCAATGCTGAGCTCTTTTTGTAATTTCTAAAGCTACTTTCAAGAAAACCGCGATTAAAACATATATAATTCGTCGATAGATTTTTTATATTTATTTTTAGTATATTAATTGATCAGGGTACTATTAAGTCCCTGAATTTCATGCCCAAAAAGTGAGCAAATATTGAGGCGATGTCATAAATCTGGCTAAGGTTTTTGCTCTCGGACTTCCTATTGTCCCGAGTTTAGCACAACATCAAATTCCCATGCAGCACGCCAGAATTTACTGTGCTTGGTTGCCCTCTGAAATCTTTCCGAAATATGGCAATGCTGTAGAATGGGAGAAAACAATAGAGAATAGATTTCAGAGGGCAACCTGTACAGTGACCTACATGGTGATAAGGGTCATTTGCAAGACGAATATGAGTGATAAAACCTTTTCGAAAACATCTAAAAAGTAGCAAATTTTTTTGCATTAAGTCCAGTCCTTAATGCATGCATAATTTATACCCTTTTTCTAGAAGGCCATGATATCTCGAAATTTCCCTTATAGATTTTTGTGACACTTCGCACAGCAGAAGACATTGATCCAAAGAATGCGTAGCTTGAGGATGAAATTCGTTTTATAGCTAAAACCACCGTGACGTCATTGTCACGTGACATTTATTCTGATCGCCATAAAAAATAATACCACAAAAAAGTTTAGTCTAAGTGAAATCCATGTGTTATAATCATTTTACAATGCAGATCGGCGGATTTGTTTAAGTATACGAGATTCAAAGATGGAGGGTTTGCCTATAAAAATACTGGGTCGAGCCACTATAAGAGACGGTTGAGCAAAAAGGAATTTGAATCAACACAGTATTAACCTTTTGCAAATCTAGTCAGTTATGTAATAAAAATCAAGAGCGCTTTCCTAAGTTGAACTGGCAGGACTAACTACTCGTTTTGAAAATGAAACGTAAGTCATTTCTCTTAAACGTATCACTGCCGTGCATGCTATATTAACTGATCTGGCTGGTTAAAATACTCCCTACCGCGCCAGCCCTGGTGTGGCCAGCCAAAGCGCCCTTAAATATAGGCTACTGGTGTTAAGCCAGTAAGGTGACTTAAATCGGTTACTGACAACGTTCTGAGGGCGACGCCGATCTTCAATTTTGTATTGGGCGGTAAAAACATTTTTTGATATTTGTTCGGCGAGGCTTAATTTTGTTATTATTATTATTATTATTATTATTATTATTATTATTATTATTATTATTATTATCATTATTATTATTATTATATATTAATATGACTTACCGTATAAAAAGATCGACCATGAACAGCGATGGAGAGAGCAGCGAAAAAGATTACTAGTTGGCAACGCATGCTTAACCAGACGTATGCTGAAAATTTAAATTTAGTTTTGACTCATTTTAAGCACTTAATGACAGTATAGACCTCTTTTATAATGGCGGCATATCAATAATTATATTCTTTTAAAGAATGATAATTAGCCTTTCTGACCGCGTTAGCATGTAAAAAATACAAAAGAATTCTTACTTTCAATTGAAGTCAGAAAGGCTAATTATCATTGATATAAAAGATTACAACTATAAGTTGCCATTATGAAAGAGTTCTATGTTAGTTAGTGAGAAAAACGGAATACACGCTTTTAATAAGTCTGGGCGCCATATTGAATTTTCAATTTATGACGTCATTCGCGGAAAGACTTCAGCCGCCATCTTTGAGTTTTGACTCGCGTGACAGTACCATGTCTGGACGAGAGGCAAAGTCAGGCCATTATGAATCCCTTTATTCCATTCTTTTCCAGTATAAACATTAACAAATATTAGCAAATCCTTTTCCCAGGCTAAAGTAATCGCAGTTGTGCGGTTCGTCTTTGCAAATCATACGGGGATATCATATTCGATAACAAACGCAACACTAAGAAATGTGACATAAGATTCCAAGTGATCAGCATGTATTAAAAGGAGGGGAGTACTCGACCGTAAAGGTGTGTAACTTAGTCTTTTTGTTTGTGGGTTCTAATTTGTACCGCTATATTTATCTCTCAAATATTGCTTTTTGCTAGGGGCAGAAACATACAATCGTCTGTTCTTTTCATTTCGGGGATGATGACTTCGGAAGTATTGTATTGTATTGTCTTTAAATAGTGGTCGGTAGCTTTTGAAAACGTGCAGCCTCCCCTCGATCGCTGTTTAAATGCCCTGTACACAAGCCATACCTTATCCCTAAGATCCAAAATAAGATAAAGTTGAACAGGAATCTGATTCGAGGCAAACCAAATATGGTAAACACCAAAGGAGTGAGGTGTGTGTTGAGCCAAGTGATGCTGAGCGACACAGCTTACTCGAATCCAACGCTGAAATTTCTGAACTAGAATCTGAAATTTTAGCACTTAAGATAGAAGGTAAAAAACTGCTAAATATCAAGTGAAATGTAACAAGTCTTTTTTTAAGAATATTGAAAACAGCACCACTTTAATCCTGCCCAACCCAAATGACCCTGAAAAAGGTGGACCCTTTTGAGCTCAGGTTTACCATTAACTATGCGACAATAAAGCCTTGGAATCAGAACATGCCTTCTCGGGTGTCAAGTTTCATAATTTTAAAAGGGCATTTGATTTCTAATGAACCATAACTTGATATTTATTATATATCACCCTTCTGTTTGGTAAAGCAGCCAACCATGACATTGTGCTTGATATGACAACACCACACTCTAAGCCCTGAATATGAATGTATATGTACATGTTATAAATATATATGCTAAACCAATATTTTTCATGTACTCAATATATTTAGTTGCTGCTTAAGACCAGTTTGCCATTCGATATTATTAGAAACATCATTCTGTGACACCAGAGTATTTTGAACAAACCTTGTTTGCAGTGAGAGATGTTGAGTTTCCATTCGCAAACAAGTGCAAATTACAGCTAGCTGACTTGAACCTTTTACTTTGAAACCAAAACGTATCTTTGCTCTGACCTTTTGATTCTCAATTAAGGATGGATTAAGAATTTTTAAACAACTTATAAATTGGTCCTCCTGAAAAAAGGGGCATTTGCAATCCTACTCAAGCTGATGTGTCAGTGTCAATTGGGAATTCAGGAAAGGAGCCATCAACAGCTCTAGGTCTTGGCAAATTGGAATGGTTGTCATAACATTGAAGTTTGCCTCCATTAGAGAGAGATGTTTAACTCACTACCCGTGGAACCTTGTGCCCAGTTAATTTAGTTGAAACTATTGCAGAACAGTTAATTGTCTTAAGTTAATGAAAGAACTTATTTGCCCTCTCTTTATTTTGGACAGTATGTTGCCTGGCTGCATACAAGGGACACCTTAAAGCCCTCATTTCTCCCTGAGCATTTCTCCGTGTAATAAGGATTGATCACATTATATGCCTTGTATGCATTATATGAATTAGGGTTCGTATCCTAGGTCCTTGGTTTGTGCTACTGTTTTGAGTTGGGGACATTCCAGTTCTTGGGAATTCAGCGAATTAAGACACATATAATAAAAGCATGTGATTACAGTAACCATTTCCTCCTGCTGTACAAGAACATTTATCACAACTGCTAACATTGTGGGGCCTTTCATTCTTCCTCAGTGATTTAAAGCATTCCCCTCTACATGAATTTGTATCCCTTTTCGAGGGTGCTTTTTGATTTTTTCGTTGCTTGTTCAACAATGTAAATGTAAGTAAAGGGCTTTGGAAGAATTGATGCATCCCTGTTCCAGCTGTCTTTAGTGGCTACATCTCTAACCAGGATTCGAGCTGATAGCTTTCTGGATTACTGAGCTACGCCTTCCCAGAGTGAAAAATTATTCGGTGCAAGGGTCGACTGGAGTATAAACGTTTTTATCCAACTTCTTTCTTTCCCGAAAAAGCCATACATAATAACATAAAAAAACTGATAATGAAAAGCATAAACTTTTTATCGAAACAGAATTGTCGTACATTTTAAAAGGATCAGAATAGCAACATGAAAAATCCTTTAATTAGCTTTTATAAATACCTGATAGATAATCTAAGTCTCCTACGAGCGGTAATAATTAATCGCTTTCAGCTTTTTCAATAAAGGCCCGCATAAAAAATGAAAAAGTATCTAAACCATTGCTAAAAAAGATTACCTGGGAAGAAGTTAAGCTCGTGTCTGTTGACGTAAGCCACGACGATTAAGCCAAAACTTTAATTCGCATTTTGTTTTTTGGCATTTAAATCAGCTCTCGTTTGTCCTCGATACCATCGATCCAGGAATATCTTTGCACGAGAGCTTTACAGTTACGATAACATACCCATAAAGACATTGTATAAAGAAAATATTCCTCTTGATATAAAGTAAAAACTTTCCTTTTTATATAAACACCCTGCAATATCAACATCAACAGAGCTTTCATCTTTGGTAGTCATTTTGGCCACGTGTATGATCTTTCGCGAATGACGCCATTCATTGAAAATTCAAGATGGCGCCCAGACTTATTAAAAGCGTGTATAGAAAAAAACGAAAACGAAAAGCTCATTTAATGTTGAGATACCTGGATAGTATTTTGTGAACAGGCCTAGTTTGCTTGGGAAAAGAATAAAAAAATCTGAGGATGAGCCAGAATTCAGTATTCAGTACAAATATATTGATCACATTTCTTCACTTGCACTATCACAAACAGGAAGGTTTTATAATGTGTAGTTAATTTAGTCAATTTTGCTTTTTGTGACAGACCTGGCAAAGGGAATTATGATTTTGTCTGACCTCCATTATGATTAGTCAGCCAACAAGTTAATTCATTTATTAAATTTTTGGTCTCGACTCTTTCAACTACGTTGAAATTTAGTTTTGCCATTTACAATGTCATATGCAAAATGGTATTTGTTTGGAAAGAAGCTCTGGGAAATTACAAGTACAGTTTGTTGGTTGTACATATTCCCTTTTGAAGGCAATAAAAGACGACTTACATCTTGTTTTAAACTTGTCCAAATTATAAATAAATAAACTGATTATATATTCCAAGCTTAAGTTCCAAATAAAACTAAACAAAAAGTTGCTGTTCATGAATTTTAAGTAACTTTCATCGTTAGAACCATTTCCCTGCACACCAAACCTAACCAAACCAAGCGTGCAAAATCTCATTTCTTTGAAAGGAATCAATTGCTAGATCCTTCTTGGTGCACATGTTTAGAAACGATTGGTATTCTGGTAGATCAAACAGCACAGAATAGAACCTTTGTTAACTAATGATTTATAAAGAAGCATATATCTCTTAAATCGTAATATAATTTTATCTTAGAAACTTACCTGAAATAATCTATGGACGTTCTAAGCTTTCAACGAAGAAAATTGCACCCTCTTTTAATCCGCGCGTTTGGGACACAATCTGCGTCAAATTTTATTTACAGTTTCGTAACTTTAATGCTCCACAAATTAAAAAGCAATTTAACTTAAAAGTTCCGGTTGACCCATTCATGCACAATCATTTTTCTTTTTCAAAATCATAATTACAGTTTGTGAGATAGAGCGATGGGTTAACGACTTCTTTTAATTTCCTTAACGACTGTAAAGTACTGTGAGGAAATGACGAGTTGCCTTTATGCCGCTTAACAAGTGAGATAGTGAGATAAGCCCTGGACTGTGATAGGGTTTATTCTGATTAAGTAAACAAAAATCGTAGGCTTAACATATAATTATGCTTTATTATTTAGGGGCGATGAATTTCATAATTAGAATCAGTACTTATCTTTTTAACCCGGATCCCGAGAAACGCTAATCTTTCAATTCTTTCTTTGGTGCTGACTAAAAGGATGGCCAGTCCCAGGGAGAGAAAAAAAAAGATCGAAAAAGAAATTTGTAATAAAACAAGTGTTTGTTTATTTCAACTGTACCCTTTTGAGGTAACTGTCCTATTAAAAAAAGAGAGCATTTTTTGCATCAGGGCTATGATTAAAGTGCGTTTTCGTCCTAGGCGTGTAAATGACAAGGGAGATTACGAGGTACATATTAAGTATTATAATAAGTAATCATTACTTAAATTCAGGTTTGATTCGACTTTCTTCTCTCCATTTCAGTTTAAACTCAGCATAGATTTTCGTTGAAATTGGGTACACTGTTGTAACTAGTAAAGAAGATGATAAAAACGTAATACTGAAGAAGTGGGCGTTGCGTTGGCTTTGGGGGAATAACAGCACGCAGTTCAAAGCCAAAAAAACAGGCACAGTTTTTTTCCCAAGATGTCTGTGATAACTGCACAGAATGTGACCTTTATTCTGTTATTTATGACTTAGAAGCAGAAAAATGCCTTTGAAATTTGTTTGTTTTTACTTTACGCTCTAACTGAAGTAGAAAATGAAAATGATTTTGATACTATGCTGTTCGAATGCCATTGCCGCCCAATCCGTACAATTTACTTAAATAGCCAAAAAAATATATATAGGATAGACTTCTCGGCTCCCAATTTTTTTTTAAATTAAAAAAAAGGTTTGTTATCTTAAAAAATTCTTTCAATTATTAGTGAGACCTAGGGCTTGTTTCAAAATCGAATTTACGTGGAAGATAGGAGAAAATACAAGTTGACGGATTTTTTATCGAGATATTGCACTTAGGACGCACTGTGGATGACAAAAAAGATTAAATGCCTTTGTAATGACCGGATTAGACACAATTTTAAAATCCACTTAGTAAGGGGCCGGTGAATAAAATGAACGCAGCAACATTCTAACAATATTGAGACTCGTCTCTACCAGAATAAAAAAAAAAGCCATCGAAATTCTGTTGACGTTTTTTATATTAATTATGTTTTCGCAGATCATTTTCAAAGCCACCATTTTGCCATGCGCAGTGACAGCTGTGCAGAGCAAATCCAGCGAATGGTCTTTAGTATGGACCATTTAGACAGCGTAATCAAAATCTTTTACAGATTCTTGCCACTACGCTACGGGTAGGGTATTACACGCCACGGGAACTATCACACTGTTCTATTTTCTGAAGGTGTCTTTCTTCAAATTCAGATTGAAAATAAAGGAATGATCTTGTGGCCCGTGGTGAGGCGTCGTCTCGAATAGTGCGTGGTATCATTTTGGGTAGTGCTATTCGTTCAGCCAATCAGAAGCAGTACCAAGATCTGGGTAGTGAAACATCATCAGTATGGGATTTGTGCAGGCGTTCCCCAGACGTCATTTCCCAAGGAAACCATTTGGTGGCGTTGCGAAATGTCGGCTATTTTCTCAGGCCACTCGTAGGTGTGTAAATAAATTACTGATTTTGCTCCCACTTAGGGTGTTCAAGACTTTAAGCCAATATTCATACCCATATAAGTATCCCCTAGGGTTGTGCGCAAAGAAATATTTAAGACAGCTTTAGATGTCAACATCTAAAAAGAGAAAATCTACCTTTATTCGAAATCAGTACATATCGATTTGAACTACCGTTAACTCTATTAGTTTCTACCTTGAGCGGCAAAAGCGTTGTACAACTTAGCTTACTTTCACGCGCGGGAAATTCCAACACGTCCGTCGATTTCTTCTCACAGATCGATGAGGAGTGAGTTTTTAGCGCAGGTCGCCTTTTAGGGTTATTATTTTTTCGACGAGTTCTTCTGCCATTATTTGTGGGAGCTCTCCCCTGACCCTCCGACCATTTACGCCGAAAAGAAATTAAAACTTATTCAGAAAAACATGATAGTAGTGCGGCTTTACATTCGTAGCGTCTCTCGTAGGTTCATTTTATCAGTTCAGTTCAGTTCACTTTACAAATCTCTAGTGTATATCTTTTAAATTATTCAGTGCTCTCAGTTAACAATGGGCTTGTCGAAGCGGAGAGAAGTTACACACCAAACGCAAAGTTGAAAATCAACAGAGTGCAGACAGAGGAATTTATCGACTTTCCTTCGTACAGGAACTGACAGTCTAACTGAGTAGGTTTGTTTTGAATAGATTAACTTCTTGAAATTATTGCTTAGCTTATGAATGAGATCAGCAGGATCAGTACTTGTTTTCAATACAATAAACTTCACCTGTTAAGTAAGAATAAGGAAAAATAAAATTAATAACTCACGCCACTGTCACTCATTGAAACTAAAACTGTGTTTCGACTGACCCATATGAAACATACTCATCTTGTAGCGAATTGACCTGAAACAGTTTTAAGCTACATTCCTGATTTTGCATACGCCGGGGCAACGAGGCTGAGGATATTTTTTTTAAATAAGCTTTTATTATTCTTGTCCATATCCTCAAAACCGAAAGAAATATTCCCCCACCTCTCGATTAGGAAAGTTAAAGCTAATGAATTCATCAAAGGTGCAGAGACACTTAATTAAAAAAAAAATTTAAAAAGTTAACAAAAAGGTCGTAGATGATAGTTTTTTTGCGTAAAGTAAATTGAGAAGAGTAATGCCGATACTTCTTTTGGGACAAAAGCTATTATTTAGATGTTCTAAACGAACTGAAGCAATGATACCCGGTATTGTAAGGTTAACGTTACAAATTGACTAGTACTTTAATAGGTGGTACTTAATACCACAAAACGACCGATAATTCTCAGAGTAAGTTACATTGTGGTTCCCTTGAGTTAGTAAGTTCGTTAATCACAATCGTTGGTTTGATTTACAAACAAATGATTAATGTCAATTCAACTGGGATTCACTACTACATGGCACAGCCTTGCTGTAGACATTGGTAGGCCAAAAAATATCCTGGTGAAATCACTAACAGGAGCCAAAAGAGTGAAAATACCGCTTTAATTTTGAGGTTGACCATCACTGTTTTCTCTCCATCCTCTATCCGGTTCCAATGATATAGTCAACAAGGGTTCAGTCGTGGGTTTGGCCCATGTTTCTGAAACAAAATCATGGATGGATAAAGGAAAATCAGAATGAAGGGCCTGTTTGATGACCTAGAAATCATTCAAACCCTTCACAACTCTACCGACATACCACACCTCGACCGACAAAATAATTAGCAATTATTGAGTGAGGTTGGGTATAATCTGAAGAATTATGTAGATCTCTGTCCACTCTGCTAACAATGCTTTTCCTTTACTTGCTCAATTTTGGTGTCTCGAGAATGACACTCCATGAATCAAATCAGATCCGACTTTGTTGAGCATGTCCTGCTTGTTGCTAGGATCCAGGCCTAATAACCTTGCGCTTGCTACCGCGAGCTTAGTTGTTGCAGAACGGATTTTCGCACTCGGAAAACCAGTTTGACGATAGAAAACAAGATTAACTAGTCCAGAAGCTGCAGAAGTTCTGGCTTCGGCGCCGTGAAGACTGGATGTGATTCAGACAGAGCCCCCATTTTTTCTCCCCACTCAAGAAGGTTAAAAGGAAGTTCTGCTCACAGGGTGATATCGGTCGATCTGCTAAATTCTCTCATGAGAGCCGAATCCAATAGCTATTTCATTACTTATTGAAATTGTCCTTACTTTAAAAACACGCTTTAACCTCGATCGATGTTCAGTTCCCGTCGTCATTTGATGTTCCCCAGCAAATTCAGGATCAAAAGTTTAGTCAGTCAGATATTCTCCAAATAGCACTTGTCATCCGTCGCACCTAAAATAGGGAGCTTTAGCATCGACGACGGCAACGGCAGTGAAAACGTCAGTTTTAAAATGAATTCCCGTTTTTTCAAACTTTGTCGCGTTTATTCCAGTTTGTTGAAAATGGCAAGTGTAGGCAAATTTCCCTGGAGTTCATTTCTAGAGGACCGCACTCAAGTTTAGAGACAGAAAAAGAGATTCGTCGTAGCTTGTTTACGTCATCCATAAAACTTGCAATTAGGCATTTTCACGTCGTAGACGTGCAAGGACGGTAAAGAAATGTACAGAAAAGCGTGATGCACGTGCAAACTTGTTGTTTTGCGTAATAGACCTATTGCTTTTTTGACGTCCTCGCTGCCGTCGCCGACGTTGCTAAAGCTCCCTAATAACACGAGGTCGAGACTTGGGTGAATCATTTGTGCCTTGAGCCGGTGCCTTTGTTTACAGGAATGCAGGATGGGTCTATTTATACCTTTAAGGGATGAGGGGTGGAAGGGAAAGGAAGGAAGGGACATCTCACCCCTGTCTTACTACATTCTCAGTGGATACATACTGCATTGTGGACAGCAGAATCCTGGTTTCATCTTCGTCTCCAAGCAATCAGGTATATTGCGGCATATAAATTCATTGTCGGAACAGCGTTGAACCTGGTATTTACATTCACAGATAGTGCATATGCCTCTTAAAGGGTTTTCTCCCTTAATTTCTGTGATCTTTTGACCTTCTTCTAGGTCTCCGCAGTCTGTCGATAATTAACAATGAGAAAAGTGAGGAATATATCACACATATTATTCACACTACATGGAGTGTAAATACGTTTGCTTAAATAAAAAGATGATCAAGCAATCAACCGCCCTTCAAACAAAAGCTGAGGGGGAACTGATTTGTCGGTTCACAACCAACGACAGCCGCAAGTAAAATTTTAAAGATGGTTCTTTAAAACCAGTGTAAGCTTCAGCAATAAAGTGCAGTTTCAGTGTGAAAACTTAATCAAACATAATGAGTTCGAAATAGGACGAAGTACTAGCGTTCCAAACTATCCCAACTGAATGAGGTGCCTACCTTTAAACCCTTTTTTACCTTTGCTAATAAATAGTACTTCATTCCTCAAGGCAAGAGCAAAAATTTAGCCGTTTCAACTCAGATGAAACATCATCGTGAAAATAATGGTATATGAACTTCACCAACTCGGAGTTAAAAAGTCAAGATACACCATTATTTTCAAGATGACGCATTTAATTACAGTTAACAAAATTCATTATCATTCATTTTTGAGTTCAAGTCCAGCCCTGACCGCTAGCTGGATTTGTTCTTGGTAGTCCCGAGTTCAAATCCTCAGCCACGTTTGTAAAATAACCAACTGGTTTGCCTCCTACCAGATGGGATTTTTGACCATGTTATGTTAAACTTGTTTCATGCATTACCCCTGAAAAGCCCCATAAGGGGAGAGGATAATTAAAGTATTATTTCCTTATTTTCTGTGTCATAAGCCTCTTATGGGAATTGCTAGACAATGGAGTCGTGAAAAATTTGCCATTTTGTCCCCAAAGCCTCGGAGTAATTTTAGAATTCTGATATTATCGAACGTGGGGTATTGTCCAATTAACAAGACTAGTTAATAAAGCAACAACAATTTGAGTTGTTTCTCAGAAAATCGCGCGCGAGAGAGAGAGAAAAAGAAATTACGCCACCATGACGTCATTTCAATGGTCTGTACCCTTATAGAACATAGCTCTCGACTAATTCAGCGCTCGAGAAATCTGTCAGCTATTGTAAAAAAAGAACATTGCAAATGTGTCGTTCCGAGATCTAACTCTTCGAAAGAGCCAATGGATTCAAAATGAATACATCCACTCTGACGAAGGGCTAGTGTTTGAAACGTCATGGTTTTCAACATTACGGTGGTTGTAAATTAACGCGGTCAGTAATTCAGTTGAGAAAACCATATTTTAGGGGTTTCACTCCTCCAACGACGAGACACCATATTTTTTTATAAACTAAACCCTTGGATTCTTAATTTAAGGATAACTTTAATAAAAACTAGACCAAGCCTGCATGCACAACTTTTCTGATAACTTTGCTTGGCGCGAAAGGGAATTCTTGATCAAAGCCTCAATTTTACACAGACTGCAGTAGAACGTAAAAGACAGGATGCTTATAGCGGGTTGGGCTGCCGGCCACTATAAGCCGAGCTAAGCCGCGATGCTCGCCCCTCAGTGAGCAATCGCACAGAATAAACACTCGATTTTGACGATCTTGCGTTAAAATAGGGGTCTCTACTACCACGCGTATATTTCCTCAACTATATTGCAAATTCCATAGAGTATTTGGAAGTATAAAATCTTCTCTTTTTTAAGCCTAGATGTTTCATTTGTGGGTTCAAAAAAGAATGGTTTCCTGGGTTGCTCACCTGTTTTTTTACAAACAGGACAGCAGTCATCTTCAGGAAAAACGTAATCCTCTTTGTCGCAGGCCAAAATGGCATCGCAGTAGTAAACCGTCTTACACTTTCTAAACCTTCCTCTACTGACGCACGTGCAATTTTCACACCGATCGTAATTTGGTGCTCTGGGTTTTAAAATGGTTTGCCCTCTCGTGTACGACACACCTTTGTATTTGCATTTCTTTCCACCTGCAATACAATAAAATGACAGCGAAGTAAATAGTTTTGTTGCGCATGCACGGAGTGATTCTGATACGTTTGCTCATTGTGGGATAGAAGACATAGGAAAAAGCCTATTCCAGCTTTAATTTCTGGGTAGTTCCAAGTAGAGTCAAACCCTAGCAAAAGGTTTTTGTATGTCATATTTGAAGATCTTGCAAATCACGAACGCGTGATACTGAAGACCTAACAGACCAGACGAACTTACTGATGTCGTTTCTCTGTTCATTACAGTCTGTTTCTACTGACGTGGATAGCCTCTTTGCGTTTATGTTGTCTGTTCTCTATATATGAATATAACAACAACAACACTTTATTCCGTTTTTAAAAGAACAATACTCTACTAAGTTGCGTAAAGAAATTATGACGGAAACTTACCGCGTTCTTCCATTAATAGAACATGATCTTGCCACCTGATATTCACTTTGGACTCCTGAAAACAAAAATAATTCTTTTTCACTACGTAAAAGGGACTTGTCCTCTTCACATTGCAAGTTAACAGCTTGGCTCGGATTTCAGTGGGCCGTGAATGATCCAATAGAAGCCTTCTCTCAAGTTAACATATCCATTATATGATGTTCAACGTCAAATTTAGAATAAGAATACTATTAGGTTAATAACAATGACAACACAATAACTGACCGAAGATTCTGACCTCCTAGTTGTTTACCACTTACATGGGCAAACCGATCGGTCCATGATTTGGGCAAATGGTACCCAAAATTCAGGACTGGTAAATTTTGCCTCGGAATTAATTTTACCGTTATTTTGTACAAATCAGTACCATTTACCGAAAAACGATCACGAAGGCCTGAAATTGATATCAAAGAAGGCTCTGAAGAAATGGAACACAAATTTCCGTTATTTGGAACCAAAACTTTAGAAAATTTGGAAACAGCATCAAATGGAACAGAAATTTCCCAGAAACGTTTCCTGAAATTCTGGAAACTTTTGAATTCCGAAAAGCGAAGCGTTCAAATGAAATTTCTAGAAATTCCGGCCGGGAACAAAGTTGAATGAAAACTGGCAAACTTTCCGGAACAAAAATTTGAAAATTTGGGCATACGTCGCAAGGCTCTCCTGTAAACAGCCCTTGGTACCCCTATCGAAGCCGCTATCGGTCCTTTTATGAGCTTCTGTAACCTGCCCAGTCCATGATCTGAATGATGTAAGCAAGGTAGACCACACCAATCGAGGAAACGTCCCCTATTCTTTGCGCTTTTTTTTGGCTCTCAGCAGTGGTTTTTTTTCTGCCTTTTTTCACCTACTGCGAATCCTGGTCGCAGGCTATTGGCAAGGGAAAAGTTACATTAAGGAAACTATGAAACTAAAAGACATAAAAAGGAGAACTATGATTGAGATCATCTCTCACAATACTTCAGTTCTCTTTTCCTTGCTTTGCAATTGGAGTTTTAAAGCGATAGAAATGAATCTTTTTTTGTCGTTTTTACAACAACGGGAAGAAATCTTTTATTTTTTCTTGTTTGTAGCCATTTAATTATCGTCGGGGATATTACCTGAAAGGATAAATCATTGCTGCCGTTTAATGCACTGCTTGCCTCGGTGCATGCTTTAAGAAGCACGAAAATGGCTGTTAGTAGCATCTACCGAAGAAAGGAAATTAAGTAATGCAAGTTAGTTGACGTTAAACATATTGCTTATCGACGTTTAAACGTGTTTCTGGAGTGTTGAACTGAGTATTGATCTGATAAACAACGTCGGATGGCGGATAAATGGAGTCTGGATTAAAAGTTTCAATGAGACTGGTACCCAGGGAATCTTGCGAGAGGAAAACACAAACACGTTAAAATATGCCATTTCCGTGTTCGGAAAACTCTCACTTTCGAATGAAATTGAGTTTTACTTGTATGAGAATAAAAAAACCATTTTCATATGAATGGTTTCGCACTCACTTTAAAACAGAGGTTTGACGCATCTCAGAAATGGCCAATTCTTAGGGCTAATGTTTGTATGAGGTTTATATATCGAAGGGCGGACCTTAACGCTACTGGTGCAAGGATGGTAACATATATGAATAGAAAGAATAAATTACTTGAATAAAAAGCGTTCAAATCATGTTCAACTTCAAGCCAAATTCCAGGCAACTTGTACTGTACATAGGAAAACCGAGAGCGCACTTTAAGTAGAGGTGGAAAGCGACAGTCTGTCTGACTGTCTGATTGAATGCACCTATATGCAAAACAAGAACGATATAGGAACTTTTACCGCTGAAACCCCGCGTTTTTGAAGTTTTCTGTTTGTGCCCACTTCTCAAGCATTAATGTTCAAGTTGTTATCTTTTCCGCTTTCAGAATGGGGAAAATAATTTTCAGTTGAAGATGTGAATAATGACCTCAATCACGCTCAGTGAATACTATATAGCATCCTGGCTATATGTGCAGATTGAGTGATTTACTATTAAAGCATTATTGTTGTTTTAGTCCAAAACAATAGTTATAACACACTGCTGCTTTCTGGAGTCAATTGTAGTGACGTTTTTCCTTGTAATGTAGATTTTGATAAACAAAGCGAGGCAGTCAGTCGGGCTAGGAGAAAAGGCGCGACGAAAGTTTTCAAGCAAGGGCGGAAGAGCCCCTGGGTGCCGACTCTCACCGGACCATTTCCAAAAGGTGAAGCGAATGCTGCGTCCTGATTGGGCACAAAAAATGGTTTGTATTATTGTGCCCAATCGGCGAACAGTTTCTCCTGAGTTCTTTTCGTGAGTTCGTACAAGACGGCTGTTATCTCGCGACAGTTGCCCCGGGTTCGTTTACTTAGCTATCCTAACCAGAAACGAAGGAACTACCGGAAGAGTCGAAAAACGTTTGGGATGATATCAGCAGCAGGGGCAATTCAATTTGCACTGAGAAAATTCTGTTTCTGACGGATCACAATGTATCGTAGATAATAGGAAGTTTAAGATGCAGCGGCGACGAGAAAGGAAAAAAAAGCAATAGCTTGACAAGGCAAAACAACAACTTTGCACATGCATCACGCTTTTTTGTACATTTCTTTGCCGTCACTGCACGACTACCACGTGAAAATGTCTAATTTCACGTTTTGTGAAGGACGTAAACAAGCAATGACAAAATTTTCTTTCTCTTTATGAACTTGGATATGGTTTATAGAAATTCACAGCTGAATTCAGCTCAGGAAGAGTACGCTTACATTTGACAAAGTAAGCGAGTTGGAATAATCACGATAGAGACTGAAAAAGTTTGAATTTCCTTTTCATGCGACGTTTTCGTGGCTGTCAGCTGTCGTGGCATCTTAAACTCCCCAGTATTTAGTACGAAGGCGTGATCGATGCAAGCGTGAATACCTGTCGTGTAAGCTCAAGCATGTATTTTTGGAAAAGCGTATTTAGTTTTTGGGTAGACAGCATATTGAAATGGAGAGTTTATATCAAACTGAAAGTTTCCTGACTGCGTGCATTTCTTCGGTGCATGAGCCAGACAAGCCGTGATCAAGTCAATAGCCGTCGTGTAAGCACTCACGAAAAGAACTCAGGAGATGCTTTTCCCCCTATCGGCTCAATAATACAAAACAATTTTGAGGGTCCTGAAGGGGTAAAATGGGAACTGGGATTGGCCGGTTTTTGCCCTGGGAAAATGGGATTTAAGCCACTGGGACTGGGATTTGGTCACTGGGAATGGGAATAAAATGTCAAAAATGGGAATGGTATAAATAGTTTGGAACTATGACCAGTCGAGGCATCACTTATTTCCTGGAGTTAAGAAACGTCAGAAAATTGCTAATGCACCTTTTTCTAGTTAATTTTTAGCATCTTTATCTAGGTTTCCCCCGAATGGACCCGATTTGCGGTCAACGATATTTGTGTACAGCGGTACGTGTAAAACCAAAAGTCTACATGGCATGTGTATGATACAAACAACATGGCGGGAGCTACGGCGGGAGCAGAATTGACGACTCGCACTGTTGTCGTAGAAATTAAGTACTTTTGAACTAAAAATGTACTTATACACACAGAAAACTGCAAATTGAATTTACCATTGGATTGTTCAACAACTCAGATGAAGAAAAATAGAGTCTCCCAACAACGAACGGGTAGACAGCTTTAGTGTGAGTGACGGTGACAGTGACTCTGAAGAAGAGGTAGACAGCGCTCTTGAAACAATGAACATGATCTGTCCGACCAGACTGGGAAGAGTAAGAACACTTACAAGTCGGATGGCAGATTTCCTGCAGGCAGGAATGGCAGGAATGTGAAGTGGCAGGAACTAATCGCTATAAACTCGCTACTTGAAAGTTTTATTACCGTCTGAAATGATCTTGTTATCTTCAGAACATCTTTGTAAATCCTTGTGAATTTTTGGGTCTTTGTTGGGTCGTATTTAGAAGCCGTAATTTTGCAGATGCAAAGCGAAAAGAGGTGTTATGTAAAACACTGGGATTTTTTCCAAATTCTGCTAGTGGGAATGGGATTTGAGCACTGGGAAGTGGGATTTCGAAAAAAAAAAATGGGCTGGGAAATGGGACTGGTACCCCCCCTTCAGGACCCTCAATTTTTGGCCCAGGCAGGAGCCAGCATTCGCTTGACCGTTTGGAAATGGTTCGGTGAGAGTCGGTACCCAGGGGCTTCTCCGCCTGTGCTTGAAAACTTTCGTCCCCCCTTTCTCCTAGCTCGACCGACTGCCCCTGGGTCTCCGAGGATGGAATCAGGTATGGTTTTTGAGGAAACCGGCTAGGGGCGTGTATGAAAGTATTTATCGTTTCAATTCCAAATGAGTATAAAAAAAAGAGAAATATACAAATTCGAGATGGATTTAAAGTATTTTCTTTGTTGCTGTTCTAATCTAAGTGTAAATGATGGGATAAATTCCTTGAGAGTTATGTCTGAAAACGAGTCTGAAAAATGATATTTTTGGTCTGAAATAGGGTCAGGATTTAGAGAACTAGGTGGCACACCCCCACCAAGAATTACATACATTCATACATTTAACATACATACATCCTTTGTTTGATAAAGCGGGTTGAATAAATGGCAGGGATTGCTGATGCGGACCTGCTATCTACTTTACACTATAACTGAATTAACATCTAAAAATATATTCTAATATAAATAATTATAAATACAAATAATACATAAATAAATAGATAAGCTTAAAAATAGATATTGTTGGTTTTCATATGACGTTACTGAAATTCAAACTACAAAACTATCGATCCTACTGAGATTTTACTTTCATGGTGTATTAGAGCAGCTGAAAACTAGTTTTCAAACAAATTTTCGTTTCAAAAGGGTTCTTGGTTTTTTAATAGAGTACGCTTGAATTTCTAAGCTTTCGCGTGACGCAGCATTTACAGGACGGCCGAAAGAGCTGTCATAATAGGTTAAAAAAGCGACTTTTTTTCGGGGAATTTTGCTATCTAAACAGTTCAAGTATTAGAAAAAAGTATTACTTTAATGTTTATGAGTTCCTCCAGGAGTAAATTCACGCTTTTGTAGCAAAACTCGGTAACAGATGTTTCTTTTGGTTTCCGTCCGCCATGTTGGTGTTCATCCGGATGAGCACCATCAGCATGGCTTCTCCATACAAAGCTCTATAAATTTGGGTAAGTCATTTCTTCGGACACCTCGTATACGAATTATTCCTTCCACCCAAATCTTGCCGAGGGTCTTTGTATATTTACCTCCTTTCATTTCCCAGATTCTGGGCTTTATCTGTCGAATGGTTTTGATTTTTATTTTGATCTATTTTGAATGGCGTGACACTGAAAACCAGCAACATAAATTGTAATTAAGTTAACTTAAACAATGCAAATGAAAGATAAAAGGGTGACTAATCAAAATGACTAGTAGCCTGAGTATCAGGCGTTTCTGGGGAAAAGGGGAAAGATGGAAGCGAAAAAGGGAGAGAGGTGAAGGAGAGAAACGCCTGACACAGATGCTTTTACCGGAGCCTTCCACCCCCACACAGCATGATTCGATACCATCCAATCAAAATCACTTCCGGTCATTGGGTTGTCAGCTTCACGTGTCAAAAAGCTCGCCTAAAATAAATCTCACT